GTGCTTAAGATTGGTGGCAGGGCTGGGACCATCCTTGGATGAGTCTGGGACAATAAAGCAGACAGAATCCCAGTCCTTCTACAAGAAAGAAACAAAGAGAAATCTCAGTCCTCCCAGGCGGGGGCGGCCTGCAACCTCCCTCCTCCCTTGGGAGAGCTTCCACTCCCCACCCAAGGGCCTTGTTAGCTGCTACCTTGGCCCCAGGAGGTGCTGGCATCCTTCCAGCCGCACTCAGTGGCTTATTCCCTCTCAGCTTGTCACACTCCTTTTGGCCTCTCCCTGCACCCAGTTCCTATTTTGGAGATGGCTATGGTTAGTAGCACCTCTGATAGGGACCTGTGGGGTGGGATGAGCCTACCGTGGGCCTCTGAGCACAGGCTGCACCTGGGAGCCAGGAGAGAGGCTGCCTGGAGAGGGTGATGGTGGGATGGCTCCTTGGAGCCACACCTGGACCATGGGGCCAGGTTCTGTTTCTGGGAGCAGCAGAGAATGCAGACCCTGTCTTCTCTCCCCTCACAATTGTGTGTTTCAGATCGGAAAGCTGCGCAGTGAGCTGGAAATGGTAAGTGGGAACGTGCGGGTGATGTCGGAGATGCTGACAGAGCTGGTGCCCACCCAGGCGGAGCCCGCAGATCTGGAGCTGCTGCAGGTGAGCCAGCAGCCTCCTGGCAGGCTCAGTTGCCCCCTCCCAGGTGACCACACGGGATTCTCCCAGCTCATACTGCAGTCTTCATACTTACTCAGAACTCCTGGGGCACTGGGACCATGGGCTCCATGGGATTGGGATTCAGATCTCAGCTCTACTGCTTTCTGGCTTAAACAAAATAGCCCCTCCTGCCTTAGTTTCCTCATCTGACCACTCTAATATGAGATGACATGAGAATTAAGTGAGGTATTGCATGTGTAAAACACCCAATGTTGTGCCGTACAGTCCGCTCCTAAGAAACAGTACCAGACAAAGCTGAACTGTGAGGTTCCACCTTCAGAATCCATGTGAGCAGTGGGGGAATTGAGGCAGGTGGAGCTGATGGGTTGTTTTCCTTGTTTGTTTGGCAGTACTAGAACTTGAACTCAGGGCCTTGCACTTCCTAAGCAAGCACTCTACCACTTGCACAACTCCACCAGCCCAACTGGTGGTTTTTGATCCTGTGTGCCATGCGATATTGCCATGATCTTGTCCCCAACCAGAAGCCACTGGAAAAGAAAGGGCTGTGTTTGGGGAAAGGCACATCGCCATGGAGGTTGCTTCACAGGGGCACCGAGAAAGCTGGGTGTCCCTGAGGCCAGAGTCACCAGAGCCTATGAGGGGACAGGGTGCTTAGTGTGCTCATCTGATTTCGTATTGCTCTCCTGCCAGTCCTCAGACCCCTCAAGGGCAGGTCTCCATGTCCCTGTGGTTTTGGGTGGTAAAACAGGAGTGTCGGGTTGAATGGGCCCATGATGGAGGACTGGATGAGGAAAAGTAGAGTGAGGGTTGCTGTTGTGTAGTTTCCTGTCCTAAGCCCAGCCATGAGGGTGAATGATGTTGGAGACTCAGAAGCCTAAAGCTGGGTGGCAGGGTTTACCCAGTGAGAGCTCCCATCTGATAGGCACTTCCCATGAGCCAGGTTCTGTACATTAACTTGTACCCTGACCATGCCATTGTCCAGGTCAGGAAACCAAGGCAAAGGGAGGTTATGTGACATGACTGGGGTCACATGGCTCATAAGCAGCAGAGTTGAGATTTGAATCCTAGAGGCCTGGCTCCAAGTGCTGCTCTTCTGCTCTTGAGAGGGGCTGGCAGGGAAGTAGAAACAAAGCCACGAGAGTGCTTGGTCATGGGAGGAAGACAGGCAGGCCCCAGGATGTTGAAAGTCACCCCAAGCTGCCCTGCCCTTGTGCTCATGGCAGATGAAGAAATCCCAGAGGGCCTGACCCAGAAGGGAGCGGGTAACAGGGTCCACAGGAAGCCAAAATAAATATTGGAGCAGAGCTTAGTCTTAATGTTCCCTAGGAGAAAAGCATGCTAGCACATGGCCACCTTCAGTAGCTATCTGGACCTCAAGTCCATACCAGGCACCTTTCACCCAGCAGCAGGTACTTGAGAAAAGAAATGATCAGTCTTAAAAGTTATACCTCTAAGGCTGTGTCTTCTAATTCCTCTTTTTCCCAAACAAGTTTAAATGTCATTAAAGGTCAGTCAGTGGGATCCTGGAACAGAAAAAAAGGACATTAGCAGGAAAACTGGTAAAACCTGAATAAAGTGTACAGTTAGTTTTGACAAGTGTCAAACTGGATGAAGGGTACATAGAAACTCTGTGCAATCATCATTATTCTTCTGTTAATCTAAAATCATTGCAAAATAAAAAGTTTATTTAAAAAGAAAGAATTCAGTCAATGAGAATAATGAGGCAAAAATTCAAAATCAGGGCATGTGGGTAATGACTGGAGTCATCTAGCTTATTTGATTACACCAGAGAAAAGGTTATAGTTTGTTCTGCCACTCCCACTGCAGTCTTGGGTTTTTCAGCTAAGCAAAGTTGGTGAAACTTTATTCTTCAGTCTGCACAAAGCCAAGAACAGCTAGCATGTTGGCTAAAATGTTAGTGTAGAGTCAGGTGCAATGACACTTGTTGTCTCAGCTACTTGGAGTCTGAGGAAGGAGGATCACTTGAGACCATACTGGGCAACAGAGAGAGACCTTGTCTTGCAATTAATTTTGTGTAGACTTCTGGGAAGCAAAATTCAAATAATGTTTGTAGAACCCCAAATGCTGTTCCTTGGAACCCTAAAGTCCAGTTTGGAGACCTCTCACTCCTCTGGGGCAGAGCCAGGCTGGAACCCTGTCCTTTAGGAACAACTTTGCTGGGTGCTTGGCTGACTGTCTCACTTCCTCTCCCTGCAGGAGCTGAACCGCACGTGCCGAGCCATGCAACAGCGGGTCCTGGAGCTCATCCCACGCGTCTCCAGTGAGCAGCTGACAGAGGAGCTGCTCATGGTCAATGACAATCTCAACAACGTGTTTCTGCGTCATGAACGGTAACCCGACCCTCCTCATGTCCCTGTCCTTCTGGCCTCCTCACCACTGTAGTTTTCCCTCATCTCCCTCGCAAGCAGAAAGCAGTCCACCAAGGGCACATGCCCTGGACCATCTTCTTCCAGCACTCGTGCAGATGCCCAGCTTCTGTCCCCTTGGCCTTTCCCAGAGTTAGCCCTTGGACAACTTGACTTAATTAGGGCTTTCTGACTGCAAGCTACACAAGTCCTTCCTGACTAATTCTCCAGAAGAGGATTTATTAGGACAATGGCCTGTATTAAACATGCAGCTTTCTGAACCCAAAGAAAAGTGAGACAGTGAAGCCTCCTCACAAGAAGGTAGGCCAAACCCCAGGGCAGTTTGAGGCCTCAGGGGCAAAAACTTCTGGACTGTATACCCAGGGTGCTGCCCCCAATAACTGGATCAGTCCCAAACGCTTCTCCAGCTCATGTCTTCCCATGTGAGAGTCAGGTCCCCAACAGAGACCGACTGGCTTAGCTTCACTGTAGCCACCCATGGCAGTCCAATCAGGATTGCAGGAACTGGGGGGCAGCTCCTCAGAGGAGCGCTCAAGCACTATGGCAAAGGACAGAAGAGAGTGCTGGGTCTGAACAGGCAGTGGCCGCCACACTCCCTGTGCCCATGACAGAGCCAGTCATGAGGCAAAGTCTATAAAGCACTTGCTGTGCCCAGTAAACTCTGCTAGTTATACCAACCTCCACTGGCTCCCTGTGCCTCTCCTGTGTCTTTTTTTTTTTTTTTGTGGGACTGGGGTTTGAACCACTTAAGCCACATCTCCAGTCCATTTTGTTCTGGTTATTTTGGAGATGGGGGTCTCACGAACTATTTGCCCAGGCTGGCCTCGAACCATGATCCTCACGATCTCAGCCTCCCAAGTAGCTAGAATTACAGGCATGAGTCATTGGTGTCCAACTTCTTATATCTTTATTTTTTCAGCAGACACTCACCAAGTGCAGTCGTTTTTTGCAGTCAGTTGAGAGTGAGGTGGGGCCCCTGCAGGTCACATCTGCAAGGCCTCTCATGCTCATTGGTCCAGTGGGAATGAAGGATCCCATCCTTGCCATTTGAGGGAGGAGAACTGTGCGATGATCCCACCAGCACCCAGTCATTAGCCTCCAATTTCCAGTGCTTTTTGGTTCCCAGCCACTGCCACTCAGTGTCTTCACTTGATCCTCACCCCACCAGGAAGGCAGGCATCCACAGACACTAAACAAGGAGACAAGCTCAGAAGTGATGGATGTCTCATTTGCCAACAATTCAGACAGACCTCAGACCAAGCTCCTTTCCATCCACTTGCCCAGTCCTTGAGCCTTAAGTGACTCCATAAAGCAGAGTCCAAGATATGCTGTCTCTTCTATACCACCTTGGAGAGGCACCCACACCTCAGGTGTGAGAGTCAATAGTGAAGGCAACTCACAAGCCACACTCACCTTCTCTACATGCTGGGCCTCCCGCTTCCCCTCTGTTCTGTCATTGTTTCTTTTGTTTCTTGCTGGTAGTAACTATAAGGATCATGTAACTGATCTCTCAAATTGGGACCCTTCTGCAAGTGAAAGAGGGCCACTGTTAATGATTACATGTCAAGCAGGCATGCACTGGATCTGTCCAGGGCAGACCAGGACATCTCGCTACCCCAATGGCAACCCCAGCGTGGATCCTTAGGACCTGTGGTTTGAGAAGCTCTACTGGGACTGTGCCTGGGAGCCTGTCTTGGTCTGTCCCTTTGACTTTTCTTTTCTGTCTTGTAGGTTTGTCTTCTGTTTGACTTTGTCTTTTCTGTCTTGTAGGTTTGAACGGTTCCGAACAGGCCAGAATGCCAAGGTAAGCGGTGTCTCTTTTGTGACTCAGTTATGCCATGTTTATGGGAAGCAGGAGGGCTTTCTCACCTGTCCCCAACACCCTGGACACAGTGGTGCTTTTTACTCATCTTCATAGGGAAGTCTCCTTCTAACTTCCTATGCTACTGCTCCTTTAAGGGAAGTAAGGCTCTGCCACCAGCTGGTGCCCCAGGGCCTTCCCAGCCTCCCAGGGCTATAGCTAAGCCAAAGGGGAGCAGAAGCAACTCCCTGATTCCCAGTCAGAGCTGTGGGAGCCCTGGAGATGGATCCTCGGGCAGAGAACACAGGCCCCAGTGCTCCTGGCAGAAGGGAAGGAGGCTGCAGGCAGAGAGGATGATCAGAATTGTCTCCCTTCCCCTCAGGCCCCAAGTGAGGCTGAGCCAGCTGCTGACCTGATTGACATGGGCCCTGACCCTGCAGCCACCAGCAACCTCTCATCCCGGCTGGCAGGAATGAGTAAGTATGGCTGGGGCTATAGTGAGGGGTACATTACAGTGCTCACACAGCCCCACAATCGCAGGGCTGCCTTCCCATTACACAGCAGCAGCAGAACATTGAGCCAGACACCCCCTCTCTGGAGTCCCAAGCCAAATCTTGCTGCAAGATTGGGCACTCAGGGAAAAACATGTGGGCTCCATGGGTCCTGAGCCCTGTGACCTCAGAAATTCCACTGTCCCTCTCCACTGATTCCCCATAACTTGAATCATCTGGTGAGTCTGGGCAAGCCACTAACTCTTGTTGTGCCTCTCTTTGCTCCTCAGTAACCGGTGGGGATGAGCCCTTCCTCAGAGGTGGGGAGCATTGAGCAAGCTAATGCCAGAAATAGGTGGAGATCAGTACTGGGCTGAAGGGCACTTTTTTGGTGGGAGAGGGGCAAGGCTGTGGATCAAACCTAGGGCCTTACCCATGCTAAGCAAGTGCTCTATCACTAGCTACATCCTCATCACCTTTGCTGGATTGGGGGGGGGTTTTTTTGAGATATGATCTTTCTCTGTAGCACAGGCTGGCTTAGAACTCTCGATCCATTTTCCTCTCTTATCCTCCTACCTGTGGTGGAATTCCAGGTGTGTACTACCATGTCCAGCTGTACTCTTGATAAATGTTAGCAGTCAACATCATTGTCACTGGTTTTAACATTGACTGCTTGCTTCATGCCATGCCCTAGGAAATCATTCAGATTCCAGTTGGAATCTCTGATACTACACTTTTTTGAAAAATCAGATCTGCCCACGGTCCTATTACTCAGCTGCTTCCTCTAGCAGATATAACAGGCAGTGCTTTCCTGTTCTCAAACCCTCGGCACAACTGGGAGAGATGAGCACACTAAAGCCAGAGAGGGGAAGCACCTTCCCACTGTTCCTCAGGCAGAAGGAAGGTGCCCCATCCATCCCCCTCCACCTCCCACCCACAGCCCTGCTGCTCCTCCAGCACCAAGCCGTAGGCTCAGCAGGGAGACACAGGGACGGTGGATAGTCCCTCATGTGGCCTTTCTGTCTCTGCAGACCTGGGCTCTAGCAGTGTGAGGGCTGGCCTGCAGTCTCTGGAGGCCTCGGGCCGCCTGGAAGATGAGTTTGACATGTTTGCGCTGACCCGGGGCAGCTCACTGGCCGATCAACGAAAAGGGTGAGTGGTCCAACTCCACTTGGTAGCCACAGGTAGGGGCTCTCCACTGGAGGAGCCCTGCACCTGGCTCAGCCCAGCATGGCCTGGAAAGCCCTGTGCTCAGGGGACACCCAACCCCATAAGCAGGGATAGTGGGGAAGGGATGCCTCCAGGCCCCTGACAACAGTGTGTCACAATCTTATATGCTGTGGTCATGGAGGGAACTAAGGCACTAATAGGCCAGGCCAGGTGCCTAACATTTGGCAGCACTGGGTTGGTGGGAGTTTGGCAGCATGATTCCAAAACACTGCATGTCCAACCTGCCTATACTCCACCCTGAACACTACAGCCCTTACCCACCCCTGGGCAGAGGAGGGGATCTGCATGTCATTTATGTTGTTCTATAACCACCCTTAGTTCCCAGAGGGGGCCCTGTGGCCCTTCTCTGGTCTGCCCCCTTTGCACCGAGGAGGGATTCTGCCCTTCCCTGCAAGCCATCCATTTTCAGGGACAAGCTTCTAGCAGCCTTTGAGGGCCCCGCCCCTGGCCTTGACTTCTCTAGCTTTTCTCCACACATGTTGGTCAGGGGAAGCAGTTTGGTTGGTGTCTTGGGCAGCCAGGTTCTTATAGACAAGGAAAGTTCTAGATTAAAGAGTCCTTGTGGCTCACTTGGCTCCTTAGTGATTGCTCTGGTGTCTTTGGGAACTGCCAAATGCCAGCAGAGAAGCTGGGGATCCTTGTCCACCCCTGCAGATCCAGGTGCTGTCTGACAGGCTGCCGCCGGCCTGGGTCATCAGGGCTGCTCATGGCCCTGCCCACTGACCAGAGCCAGCCTGGACTATGAGCCAGGGCTGTCTATGCTGAGCAGTCTGTACTTCTGAGTCCAAAAGCTCTGAGACCAGCAGATCACAGTTGCTATGGCATTAGGGACAATAACGAGACTGCTGTGCACGTGGAAGCCAAGGAGTCTGGTAGAACCTGCAACCATGAGGATGACCCATCTACATAGACATTGGCGGGCAGGCAGCATTAATGGCCATCCCAAAGAGCACTTGGCTAAGGTGGAACTTGTACCGTTACTCCTCCAGGAGCCAACCCTGGGAGACAGGGAAGATGCGCCTGGAGCCTACCCTCCAGTACCAATGTGTACAGTGCTGAATTCTGTGCTGGAATGGGTACATGGTGTCATGGACACAGAGGAGGTGCAGGCAGCTCTGCAGAGGGCACAGGGCTACACTTGGTGGAGGGTAGTCAGGAAGCATTTCAGGCACAGAGAACAGCATGTGCAAAGGCTCAGGTAGGAGAGAGGTGCTCTGGCTCCTGTACAGAGCACGTGTGGAGGGAAGGGATGCTGAGAGGGCAGCAGAGGCCAAATGGGCCACACAGTAGCACTAGATTTTGTGACAGTATTGGCAGTTGGGAGCAGATTTGCATCATTGAAACTCCCTTTGGCTGGGCACAGCTGAAGTGACATCCTAAACCTTCTCGGGCCTTTGGTTCTCCTGCAGGCCCTGCCTTAGGATTGGTCTCCAGGCTAGCAGAAAATACCAGCTGGGCCCTGAGTGCCTCTTCCCTTTGTTTTCCTGCCTGGCTGGCCCACCCTTATACTTTTGGCAGACCTTTTGGCTCTGTTACCTGACTGGCCTTTGCTACTCACTTGGTGTCCACCCTGTGCATCCACCGTCTGCCTGGTTTCCCACTTCACTCCAACCTACAGCTGGCTCTGCCTTGGCTCTCAGAGAATCCAGAAAATGCCATGTTGAGACAACTCAGGCAGGTCTTCCCGTGACAGAATGTTCCTCCTTGCCTTCCTCCCCACCATCCAGCTAGTTAGCCAGTTCTCCTGCCTCCTCACAACACTCTACACAGCAACCTCTTCTCCAACAATCACTTAGACCAAATGTGGTCCCAAGTGTCCGTAGGCCCAGCCCAACCCTCACAAGGACCATCTAAGGACAGGCCCACTTCCCTCCTGCTCAGGGCAGGAGTTGGCCAACCCAGGGTCTACAGCCCTGCAAAGGTTGTATGGGCTTCTTCCAGAGGGCGAACCAGGCTCTACACTGGCTGCTAGCCTGGCCCTCAGGGACAGCCGAGCTTTGACTTCTGAACAGAGAGGAGGGGGAAGAGATGGTAAGAAGTAAGAAAGAAGGTGTAGTTCTTGTGGGCAAAGAGGAAGCAGCAGTTTCTGAGTGGCCTGGGCTGGGTGCTTCTCCCGGCCTTTCCCACACATGACAGTAGCAGTGCGCGAGAAGCAGCAACATGACTGCTTGCATGCCCTGGCCTAGCAGGCCTCAGGTCACATTGTAAGCCTACGGCATCACTTCCTCCTCACCAGCTCTCATTGCTCAGACTTAGCTGGGGATTCCAAGGGAATTGGCACACTCCCCACCCCCCCTGGCTTTAAGGTGGCTCCAGCAAAGCCCTACAAGTAGTCACCAGCACTGTAACCAGCTTTTCCAGCTATCTGGACCTCTAAGGGAAGGAGCAGCAGCTGTGCTCCCAGGAATGAGTGCCTGGGAATTGGAGATCTTATTCAAGAAGCCTCCTTTAATAATAGCCTGCCACTTCCTAGGAAGAGACATTGGCAAGTCCAAGGGCTTCCCCTTGGGACTGGAGCCCTATGACTGCCTTCCTTGCCTCCAGGTTGGACTGAGCAGGACCGAGATCTGAGCTCCTCTCTGCCAGCCACTCAGTGTTATTGAAAGGTTCTTCCCTAACATCAGGGCTGGGTCCCAGGGCTCCCCCAGATACCCCACTGCACCAGCAGGCAGAGACACTTGCTCATTGGCCTACTCTTGGAGGTCCTTTGCTCTCCTAGGCTGAACTTCGGTCATAGCACACACCTCTCTTTCCCTTTCCTCCCTCATCTGCCTTCAGCCAATGGCCAGCCCTGCCCTTCAGTTCTGGCCCTACCCTGGGAACATTCAGAAAAGCTGTAGCCAGGTCATCAGGGAGGTAGGAGTTGTCTTCCATCTGCAAACCAGTACAAGACAGCCCCTCCCTCAGCAATTTGCACACTGCTTTTGGCAGCAGAATGGACCCCCTCCATTCAAACACAGCCTTATGCAAACCACAGTTGTGAAATTATGAGACAGGAACTGCTCAAAAAGGGGTCCATAGATATTGCTCCATGAGCAGTGGGTCACTGGAGCTATTTCCCAGTCCCTCAGCTTGGACAGATCTGGTCACAGCCAGATCTCTGACCAAACACCTTTCCTAAGTTCTCCACCTTTGCTCATGCCTGTCACATGGATCACAGGCCTGAGCTAATTGCCAGAGGCAGGAAATGGGAGCCTTTCTTTCATTCCCAGGTGAGCCTGAGCGTAGGAGCCCAGCCTGAGTCATCATATGAGGCACCCCTGCCCATGCCCCGCCCAAGTCCCACTTCCTACACCCCTCAATTCTCGCATCCCCTGGCAGTCCTGTGATGGCAAGGTAATATCTAATGGCACTGCTGCCTATTTTTCAGAGTCAAATATGAAGCCCCCCAAGCCACGGATGGCCTGGCTGGAGCCCTGGATGCCCGGCAGCAGAGCACTGGAGCGGTAAGCAGAGGGGCCCTATTCTACCAGGCCTTTCAAAAGGAAGAGAGAGATGGCCACCCACCACTGTGGGCCTACTGTGTGCTGGGCACTGGTCCCACACATCCACAGCCCTCACCTTTTGGCTCTAAGTTGGCCCTTTATGGCTAATACAGTTATTCCCAGTTGATAGCTAAGGAGATTGCTGGAAAGGACATCCTTCGCCCACACTTGCACAGCAAGAATTTAGACCTGATCCTGCATCAGGGAGCTGGCGTCTCACAGTCCTGGGGTCACATCCCACTCTATCACGTGCCAGATGTCGGTCCTCAAGCAGATTATCCGCCCTTCAGCTCCTGCTTTTTTCTCTCTACCTGGAGCTTCTAACAGTGGGCTGGGTGTGAAACTAGCACTTGATTAGCATTCTCACTCACTGCTGTCCAGAAACCTACTACTTGCAGGAGCGTGGGTGGAGGAGAGTGAGGCACAGGCCCTATAACCATAGGCTGGACTTCTGGTCACATTTCCTGTCCATTTAATTGTTTGACTACGTCAAGTGGCAGCCATGTGCCTGCACTGAGCACTCTTTGAAGCCACCCCTCCTCCTCAGCAAGAACCCAAGCACAACCCTTGCTCCTTTGAATGTTCACCTAGCTCTGTGAGAACTGCTGTTGCATAAATGACCAGGAGGTATCTGGGCACAGCAGGCTGGGAACTGGAGAAGGAGGTGAAAAGTGGTGGCAGAGAAGGAGGAGTGGTGGCAGTCAGACTCCTGGGCCAGGTGGGCCAAATGTGGGAAAGGAAATCTGAGAGGTGGCAAAGACCCAGGAATCTCAGGTCAGTGGGAAGGCTGTGGATTTTGTCCTAGGTGAGGTGGAAGCTACTGAAAGGTCTTGAGCACAAGGCTCCAGAAGCTGTGGGAAAGCAGTGAGGAGGCTGGGAATGCTGCCCAGCATACATGGAATAGAGTCCGGAGACTCCTAGAGGCCCTCCGTCTGCACTTCTCTGTCTCCCAGCATCTGAGTGGTCATTCTCAGGTCAGAGAAGGGCCAGGCGAGACCCCCAAGGCCTCCCATGTGCTGGGGACCTGCCACTAAGCAGAGCACACTTCTGTACTGGGCCTCAGTGCCTCCACTCATTTCCCTCATAAGTGATCACTTCTTGAGCCTGTGCTGTATGCCAGGCCCTGTGCCAAGCACTTCACATCTGCCTCTTAAAAGTCACCACACAGCCAGCCCACTTGGACTGCTGCCGAGAGATGGGGTCACTTCCCCAGAGCACACAGCAACTCAGAGGCATGACTGGTCTTAGGGCTCCTGGCTCCCACAGCAGGAAGCACACAACTCCATCTGAAGAAAAGTGGAAATTGATAGATGGTCATGCATTCAGCCCCATAACTCACAACTTCCTTCAAGACAAGGGGGTGGTTTCTGAAAACTGAGCAAACACCTGCTCCCAAGTTTGGCTGGCAATAAGGCTGTCCCACTAACTGCCAGGACATGGTTCCAAGCAGAAAAGTACGAAATGGAATCAGGTGCCAGCTCTGGGCATGTTTGCCCTGTATTGCAAGCAGAACTCATGAGTACTGTGATATGTGCTGTTGCTTGCCGTGTGCCAGTTTTCCTGCCTTCACTCCTTAGGGTGCAGCCGTGTGTCAAGCCTCGCAATTGGCTGTGAGGTGGGCAAGGTGGTTATGGGTGGCCAGCTAGAAGCCAGGACTGGAGTCCTCTCCACCACTGACCTGTTCTTGTGCTAAGGAGCCTCCTCTTCACCTTCATAAATAGGAGGGCACTGGACAAACCCATGACTCTGAAACACAGGGCTAGCAGAAGCTCCTGTGAGCCACCAGACTGGCTGATGGCTGCTGCTCTGTGTGTCCAAACTGCACAATGCCCGCTCTGGGAAGGGCCAGGAAGCTTTGTTTAATTTCTTCTCAGCCTTGCACCAGCCCTGTGGCTCTGGATCCCTAGACTGTTGTGGTTCTGCCCTTCCCCCAGTGAAGTGCTCAGTGCTGCTCCTTCATACATCCACATGACAGAGCATGCACAGGTACACACACATGAGCACATGTGGCCTCCCTACCCCACCTTGATGGCCCCCCTGGTATGTCAGAACTGGAGGATCCATTCTCTCCTCAAAGGGAAGGGGCTCCCATTGACCCCTCATCCTGCTCCGGCTGCTGAGAGCCTTACTCCTGCTTAGCCTCCAGGTGGATCCCAGGCAGCCAAAGGTGGGAATCTCAGGGCCTCCACTCCAGCAGGAGACAGGGCCTTCTAAGCGAGGAGGAGGACACTCAGGGCAGGAGTGGGTGACTGCCCCAGGCTGCCCAGCTGGAGGCTTCTGTCTTCTGTCTTCAAGGGCACTGTCCCTTAACTGCCATGCCTCCTGCCTTCCAGATCCCTGCCACCCAAGCCTGTATCATGGAGGACATTGAGCAGTGGCTTTCTACAGATGTGGTAAGTGGGCTCACCCCTTACCTGCCTGGCAGGGATCGCATTTTTCTCATGGACAATGAATGGCCACAAGGCCAAGGTAGAGTGGTACAGTCCCCTGAGAGATCCAGGGTGAACAGCTGCTGAGAAGAGGCAAGTGGCAATGTCCCTGCCCCTCCCAGGCACAGCACCTCTCTCAGCTGTGTTCCAGATCAGGGAAGTGCCCAGGAGACAGAAACCCTGAGCCATCCAGCTTCCAAACCTCTGTACCAAGGACAAAATGAGCTTCTGGGCCTTGTGGGCCTGGAGGTTGCATCCCACAAGTGGCAAGACCATGTTATTGCCCAAAGTCAGACCAGGGGCCAGGCTTAGCCCCTTCCGTCTGGGGGCAGAAGCCTCAGACCATCCTTACCCCACTCCCAGCCTAGTTGAAATGGCCCCAGTGACTGGGTATCATCCTTTCCTCCATGGTACCAGACAGTCTGCCCCTGTGGCCACTGAAAGGAAAGGAATTGGTACCCATTGGAGCCTGCTAGGTACCACACCCTGTGCTTGGCATTCTGTCCACACAACTCACCTAGTTAGCCTCAGCCTCCCCATCTTGAAGGAAAGAAGTCAAGGCTCAGGGAAGTCAGGGTACACTGAGGCCCTGTAGCTCTCAGGGAGGGATAGGCCAAGGCCCAAGTCCTGGTTGCCAAGTTCAGCCTGAGTATGACCCCAGTACTGGCTCTGCAGAGCCTGCCCTGTGCCACATGAACTGCCAATGGACTGTCATGTGCTCCCAGTCATGACAGTCCTGCTAACCTCTACCCTCTTCTTTCCGCATCCTCAGGGGAATAATGCAGAAGAGCCCACAGGTGTCACCAGTGAAGGTAATAGTCCCACTCTGTTCACCCACCCCTCCCCAGGCTCTGGCCTCCCAGCTCACCCTTCTGCTCTTCTACTAGAATTTGACAAGTTCCTGGAAGAACGGGCCAAAGCTGCTGATCGGCTGCCCAACCTGGCCAGCCCCTCAGCTGAGGGTCCCCCAGGACTCCCTTCTGCAACAGCCCCTCGGAGGAAGACCCAGGAGAAAGATGACGACATGCTATTCACCTTATGAATGCGGGGTTTGGCATCCCGCAGCCCAGGGCCCCACTGCTCCATACCCTAGCTGGGGCCTCTCCCCCTCCCTTGGTGTTAAGGCTGCTTTGGGGGTGTTCTGTACCCCCCTTCTCTCCTCGACGATGGAGGGGATCTAGCTGCCAGTAGGCCATGTGCTGCCTGGGGCCTGTGGGACAGCAGGATGAACTAGGGAAACAGATCGACTTCCACTGGGATCCTGGCTGCTTCTGCCTCTCTCACCAGCCTGCCACCACTACAACTTTGCTGAGATCTGGGAGGCCCCCGACAGGCTGGCTGCTCAGTTGACCTGCTGTGGCACTCCTCCCCAAGGTGATCCCACCCTGGACTCATCCCCAGAGGAGCCCTTCAGAGCGCACACTGCTGGTCTAGGCCAGTTAGAGGCTGGAGACAGAAAAATCTGTACCAAAGCCTCAGGTCCTGCCTTATGGAGCCTGAAGGCTTTGGCTGACTGTTAAGGGTGGGATGGAGGTGCCTCCCTGCCGATTGCCCACTGTCCAGGTATGAAGCTGCACACAGTGAGGCCCAAGTGGCAAAATAAGGCCTCAGGGGATGCTGGTTACCTAGGGCCTTCCACCCCCTCCACTGCCTTTCCCGTCCTTCCTCCATTCTTCCGTAGGGCTCCACCCTCTCGGGGCCCACCTGTCAGTTGTACAGGGAGAGGTGCCTTTTGTACCCTCAAATAAAAGTAGAAAACCACCCTGCCAGTAGTGTGTTGAGCCTCCTGATGGGAAGTGATTCCTTGGCCTCATGGGGCATGCGTGCCAATGGCAATGACAGAGCAGTAGGACCCGGCACCTGACAACACCCTCACAGGTGCAGTCCCTCCTACCTCACAGCATGATCCATACATGATCTGTCCCTGACAGGAGGCCACCTGGTCTCCACCCAAGTGACACCCCTCCCTCTTCAGGCACCTTCACACTGCTGTGCCTTTTGGCCAGCCCCTGCCACCCTGTAAGAGTCACACACAGGAGCCAGGCACTGGTGGTTCACACCTATAATTCTAGCCACTCAGGAGGCGGAGATCAGGAGGATCACGGTTTGAAGCCACTGCAAGCAAATAGTTCGCAAGACCCCATCTCAAAAAACCCTTCATAAGAAAGAGCTGGTGGAGTGACTCAAGGTGAAGGCCCTGAGTTCACGCCCCAGTACCACCAAAAAAAAAACACGCAAGGGAAAGAGCCCACCTGGATGGTGTTGGTGTGGTGGGTCAGCAGGCCACGGTGAGGGTGTTGGCCCAGGCACCAGGCTCTTGTCCAGCTGCACGCTGGCTTGGAAGATGCCTGTAGCCCTGGGAGTAGTCTCCATCACCACTTACAGGTGCTGAGATGTGACTCAGTCATCACACGAGCTGCCCCGGCTCAGAGGATGTGGCTTATCAGGTGCTGGACTCTTCCTCACATATAACTCCATCATCCCCATTTTTCAGATGGCAAGAATAAAGCTCAGTTTGGCTACACACAGTCACGTGGTTCTGGGGCACAGAGCCCAGGTATTGAGGTTCATTTTTGGGTCTTGACTCTGCACACCAGTCCTGCCCCATCTCCCCCATACACCCCACCCCCGCTCTGGGAGGCCCAGCTGTGGGTGCCTCCTGACAGCCTTCGGTGGCGGAAGGGCAGAGGTCTGCAATGGGGCTGAAGCAGTTGGCCTGCCCAAAAGATCAGCTCAGGGACAGCAGTGACCAGTCATTATGCCTGGGCTCCCAGAAGTGTGGTAGGGTCTGTGTGACCAGCTCCATCTGCAGCCAGCCAGGGGTGTGCACTCTGAACCATGGGACATGGGATGGGCAATAAGACCCAATAGCTGTTTCCTGCTTTGTGATGAAGAAGAGGGTCACTGGATGCGGAGTGGGGAGGTCAGGATGGCCCTGAGGAGGTCAAAGGTCAAAGGTTGCAGGGAGGATGGGGCAGCAAGAGCCTGAGATGCAGACAAGAGGGGCCCTTGAAGAAGTCCGGCCCTGCCAGACTTCCACTGGCAGAACAGTGCAGGCAATGAGGGGTGGGGGTCACTTTACAGTGACAGTGAGTCACAGCCCCAGGGAAATGAGGACCATCTGCCAGGTGGCTTAGGTGCCAGCAGGCCTCCACCTGACAAGAGGGGCAGGACTGAGGAGGCACCAGTGACTCCTGCCAGGACCAGCTGCATTAGAAGGCAGGGACATGGGGACCCTAGGGAAGGGGATTGAGTAGAGCCAAGACCAGAGGGGTAAAGGAAGGGCCCCTGCTCCAGGTCTGCAGGAAGGGGCTGAACAGAGCTACCTGGGAGCATCTTGACAGTGCCTCCATTCTCCATTCTCCCTCCTGACACCCCTGAGTTGCAGAATTGCACCCTGGGCCTGAACACTGACCCCTCCAGCCCCTGACCCAGCATCAGTCTCAGCTTCCAGAACTCTCCAGTTGTGCAACAGCAAATCCTGGGCAACCCTCTCTGAGCTGTGTGTGCTTAGGTTACTTAACCTCTCTGTGCCTCTGTTTCCTCACTAATAGCAGTTGCTTCTTTACAGGGCTTATATGATCTATACATTTCAAAAGGTTTCTTCCAGTTTTTAATATTTTTTTACTTTTTATTGACATATATTAACTGTACAAAGGGTTTTCATTATATTTCCATACGTGCACATAATGTACTTTGATCAAATTCACCTGTTGCGAGGGTTGACGGGACAAGTGGCACAGCACCTGCCACGTAGAAAACCCTCCATCCATGTTGTTACTGCTGTCCAATCCAGAGTGACCTCTGCCAAGAGCACTGCCCCCTGACTCCTGGTCATTTTAGAGACCCCAGCCCAGCCTCCCTACTGCCTTCCCAGCTCTTCCTCCAGAACAGCCTCTGTGCTGTCCAAAGACCTGGAGGATCATGCCAGTCTCCTCCCAGGCTGGGCAGCTTCCTCTAAAGGTGGCCACAGCTGCCTTGCTTCCAGCCTTGGAAGCAAGGCAGGGTCTGCCCAGCAGTCTGGATAGGGCTCTGCTGCCTCTCTGTGGGCACTTCTGGAAGCCCCCACCCTCCTGATGCCGGTGGTCCAGCCCTGTGGGCTCTGGATCCAGCTCGGGGTCAGTGACCCATGGTGAACACAAGGTGGCAACAGTGCTGAATGCAAGCATGCCTGCGGGTACGTGGTAACACCACCAGTGGGCCCTGTCCCATGCACTGACATGGCAGGGTGAGGAGGAACACTGCCAGCTGTAGTACTGTGCACCCCGCCCCAAGTACCCTCACTCTTTCCCTCAACCCTCTGCCCCTATACACACACACACACCTCTGGCTGGCAGGGCTGGGTTACAATGGTCAGGATCCTGGAAGCTGGAGTCCTGAGGCTGGATGAGGGATTTCATCTCTGGAAGCTTCAAGTCTTCTTACACCTCTAGCTATGGGGAAGGCTCAGGGAGACATGCTGGATCCCAGTGACTGGGCCACTGGGTGGGCAGGCACAAGGCTCAGCCCCTCCCCTGCTGCTCCTGACAGAGCCCTGGGGTCCTCAGCATTGGAGCTCCCACTCTCCTCTGTGGACACACAGAGATCCTTGCATAGTGCCACTTCTGTTTCTATAGGTAGAAAACCAGGAGCTCACCACACTCCCGTTATAACCCAGGCCACAGATTTCTGCTTCTGTCTTTCCAGTGCGGGTGACTCCCTCCTCCAACAGGGAGAAACCTAAGTCCCACTGTCTTCTCCCCTCCCTGCTTTGGCAGTACTAGGGTTTTGAACTGAGGACCTTGTGCTTGCTGAGCAGGTGCTCTACCCTTGAGTCACACCTCAGCCCTTTTGCTTTAGCTATTCTTTCAGTTAGGGTCTCATATTTTTTCCCAGGCAGGACTCAGACATTGATCTTCAGGACTTAGACACTGAGGTAGGCTAGGTTAGATATGGTCTGCGACTGCTCCCCTCTTGGTTCAAGGGCTCCTTCCCCTAGCCCATAGGAGAGAGAAGCCAGGTGATGACAATATGTATTGTCTCCCACCTCCAAGTTCAAGGTGGTATAAAAATAAGCTACCAAGAGACCCCGGCTCTTCTTCTTCCCTATCCCCACCTGGCAGAACACATGACTCCCCTTCCCTCAATAAAGCATTCTACCTCACTCCATCCATGTGCTCTGCTTAGATTCTTCCATTTGGAGCACAAGGACCAAGAGCTTCTGAGAACAATTGCCAATAACATGTGTAGCGAGCCAGCCAGGAGCAACCAAGTAGTGCGATCCCAATATGCTCTCTGCTCATCCTTTTTATTTCAATCCATCTTTCTCTGTCCTCTGGTTCCACACCTCACCATCTGATGCTTCAGAACCAAACACCACTCATGGCTTGGGTGATATGGCACCCTTGCGTTGGGACATTCACCCGCTGCTCAGGACTTGCTTAGAGCCCCGGCACAGACAGACTGCACTCTGAATGGCAGGATACAACATTTGCCTGCAGGACTCATGAGCTCCCAGGAGCACCCCAAGGCACAGGGTTCATGTCCAAGTTCCCTGGTCATGCCTGGTGGGATGGACCACTAAAGCTAGCTGCTCCTTCCCTAACCTTACCCTCCCAAGCCCTAATCCCCTCCCCCATCCTTTCCTTCTCTGCACTGTGGAAGATCATACTCCAAGGTCTCTAATCCCCCACGTGGCTGGGGACAATTAGAAATGCCCCCGCCATTCGGGCTGGGTTTCTCCACCCCGCCTCCCATCTTTCTATTCTTTTCTTCTTCTCTCTCTCCCCCTAACTGGTGGTTTTAAAACAACAAATTGGAGACACACCTCAGCCCATCCGGCAACAGGCTATTTTCAAAAAGAACAAAAAACTGGAGGGGCTAACTGACACCTGCCCTGGGAAAGGACGGCTGCTCCTAAAAATAAGGGAGGGACCTGTGTGGACAGGGAGCAAATAAACTGCTACCTGTGGGCTGGGAAATTTGCGTGCCCACTGCAGTCGCTCCGGGGGGCATGGAACTGCAGGCGTTTGCACTGACGGTGGAGGGAATGGAGGCTTTCTGCCCCATCCCAAATGCCGTGTCCCAAAGACTGCCAACACCTCGGAACGGGTGTGCACACACAGCCTCCTGGCCTGCTGCTCAGGGCAAACGCGCACGTGGCTTG